TTGATCATCCATTCGTCGCCCAGTCAGCCACATTCATGGCTGCACAAAGAGCTTGTTGAGGTGTTTGTTCCTTTTGATGGTGATGTTTTTCTACCTTTGATGCTGGAGATTTTTATCAAACGCTGGCAAACGATGGACCTGATATCAATGATGAGAGAGTTAGAGAGGTCTTTGAGAGAAAAGTATACTGTGAGAGACTTTCGTTTTCTAACAGACTTTGAGGAGTTAATTATAAAGGAGAATTTGTCGTGTCTCGTAAGGTTCATAATGCATGAAGAGCCGACTAATTAGTAATATTGCGGCAGGAAGCGAGGTGAACCATTAAGGCTAACCGAATTAGATTATACTCAGTTTTAACTGAATTAAGCTAAATACAGAGGCCACTTTTCGGACATTTACGTTGTAAAGTTAGTCTTTTTTGAAAACGCTGTCCAGCCTCCTACTTGGACTATTTTATGCGGGAAATATACGATCGTCTGAGACCCAAGTGACCTAAACTCAGATTTGAAGCGGCTTCGTTTTAGTTTGATCGTCTCTAATTATGAAGGCATTTTGTCGAGCAGGCAGCTATGCCAAATACTGATGACTAATTCCAATTAACTTAGATCATCTTGAGATTCCAATTTTTATGTCATTGTGTTTTCGTTTGGCGGGTACTAACTTTTATCTGAAAAGGAACCTTACACTTTGCATTGTTTGTAAAATTCCATAGAGAACTATTCGTTATTTGTTGTATTTTTTATCTACGATTGGCCCTTTTCTCCAACCTGATCGAAATCAGTTTTTGACGATCTCCCTCTTAGTCGTATAGTATCCAAAACATCAGTGCTAGGGGCGGAGATAGTTAATGAAAAAAACCTTCATAAGGCACAATAGGATCTCCAAATTGAATAGTGTAAATAGTGCTATAAGGATAACGGCTGTCATCCTTAGCTTTGTTCTCTTTTAAGATTCCGGTATTATTTGCTGTTATTGGCTCCCATAGTATTTTCCCCTTTGTTTCACAGAAGTGTTTTCTCATTGAGAAGAGCCCATGATGTATAATAAGTATGTTAACCAATGCAAATTAAACTTTTTATGCTATCACGTTCTCCGAAACTTTGAAGTTCATTGTTTATGTCTACCACTCCAATTTTTTTACGAATTGTATGGTTAACTTTTAGTGGAGAAACATTATCCACTATTCATAAGATTTTGGTATAAGTATAGCAAATCGCACGTACGCGAGTGCATATCGTGACAAATAGGCGCGAGAGATTATGTAGAAGTTTTCGTTATCTCTCGAATTTTTTGAGAGTGTAATTTGAAAACCCCTCACAGCATCACGAGGGACCATAAATCATGAAATGCATGAACAGAAACAAATAAGATCTGACAAATGCATGAAATGCACCAGATCTAATTTAATTCACTTTTCTTTACCCCCTAAATGACAGCTGCGGGGAGAAAAACCTCTTTTTGAAAGTATTACAACTCTGATGTATGAACGGTTGAAAGCAAACGGAGAGAAATAAAAATGATTGTCTTTTGACGTTTTCTTCAAAATTTACGCTTAACTTCGCTAACAGCAAAAAGCGTGATCTCCTTCTTAACCGTATAGTATCGAAAAGATCGGTGTTAGGGGCGGATAAATTTAATGAAACACAATTCCATAAGCGACAATAGAATCTCTAATTTCAATAGCGTAAATAGTACAGTGCTATAAGGGTAACGGCTATCATCCTTAGCTATAGCTTAGCTGTTATTGGTTCCCATAGTATTTTTAACTTTTCGCAAAAGTGTTTCTCCTCAGTTGAGAATAGCCGGTGATCTCTAATAATATGGGAATAAACGAGTAACTTACATTCACTCGTTTATGCAATTATGGTTTGTAAATTTAATGCAACCTGTGTTCTTTTCTTCGGAATATTACAGGCTCTTGGATGAAATAAGTGTGTTTAGTTCACGTTTTTCATGGATTACTTAAGAACACGCTTAACTCTTATTTAATTTTCTACAACTCCTTAATGGCAGAATGCATTCCCACTCTAGAAGGACGTAAGACAATGGGTTTGTGTTTCCGCCCAGAACCAGCTCGAGAACGACAGGTGCTTGTGCTTAAAACCACGTTAAGCGATGTTTTACCAGGGTGTGAAAACTTGTGTACTCATTCAAAAGTGTGCAGCTCAAATGAAAAAGTAAACGAGACTACGAAAGGTAATTTTAAATGTGGTGAACACAGCCTGAATTTGTTGAAATGATAGTTGGAAGTCATGGGTACTTAATGTACTAGGTAGGTCCACCAAACTGGTTAATTCCAGTGAAAAATATTTGATGATTGCACAAACAAACATTGTCTTCTAGAGAAGTGATCATAATACTTTTTCTTGCGCGAAAACTAATGAAAAAACATTCAGTATTATGTTTACTTGTACGAAAAATAAAGAAAACATTATTCATTAGAAAGAGGTTACTCGTGGTTATCATGTTCAAACTTACAACTTCTATCCTTTCGCAGAAACCTCTCCCCCTGGACAACGAATTCTAAGTGACTGAGGTCCCCGGCCTTTTTTCAAGTGTGTTCGAGTGCTAGCCTTGACGTTAAGCTACCTGCGCTTTGAGTGGCCAGTCTAGATCAAAGGCGAGTGAAGCCCACTCTCAAGCAAAAACCTAGCGATCAAGTTGGACTCCATGACAAAAACAATCTGACCTTCACAGGAAAGTCAATTTGCACCCCATCCCCTATACTATCTATTAGCCTGTGCCACCCATTAGGAAAGTGGCATCTTATAAAATCCTGTTTTTCAAGGAGGATGTATCCACTGTCATTACTTTTCCGTCCCTTATATTTAAACAAAAACTTAAAATAAGTGTGGTTAAAAGCAATGACAGTGGGTAATTGAGACTTTGATTTTAATTGCTCTAAAATACCAATGTGGAGACCCTCACTGGCATCAGCAATCTCTTGCTGTGTGAGCCTTGGGTTGTTGAATGACCTAAGGGCAAGGAAAAAACATTCATCTTAAAAAATAGCATTACAATTTTTACATTGAATAGGAAATTATTACATACAAGCACAGAATATCAACAGAGAAAACCAATGTAACGGATTTCTCCTGTTTTTTGTGTAATTATAAAGCTGTTAATCACACATGATATCTCACCTCAAAGCAAAGGCGTTTAAATTCTCTTCTGGCTCCCAGGAGTTTTGTAGGCTCGAGTAGCCCTTCCACTTGATGAAATATTCAATCTAGACCAACGATTGAGTAAGGTTAAACGAGTATTCGTTATGAAAGAGAGATTCATTTCAGTCAAACACTCGGAGCAAAGCAGATTCGCTTACCTTTTTCTTACGGACTCTTTTTGAAACGACTCTTTCGATCTCGTAGAATCTAGATTTTTTCTCTTTCTCTCTGTGTAAAAATCCGCGGTACTGAGATCATTCAGCGATTTGTAAAACAAAATTCTTGGCATTTCGCTCACTGATAGATTTCCGACTGCTTCACAACCAAGCTACGCAGACTCAGCAGGGTCGAAATGTACAGAATAGAGCCCGCGTCACGAACCGCTGAACGGCCTTAATTTCTGCCCATGCCAAAGCAAAACAGCGCGTGACAAATCAAGTTAGTCTAAGAAGTCCCTTTTGATTCAACAACACACTCCGATTGACCTGCGTGTCAGAAACTACCCTCTCATCCTCTGAACTCTGGACAGCCATTTTAACCTCAAAACCTTATAAAGGAACCTATGTAGGTATGTCAAGAACTATTTAACATGTTCAGATTAGGTAACCAATTGATTAAACTTAATGGATCATCGTTGCACACATTAGATCTGACGAATTATAATTTCTCATGAAATTGTCAGCTTGAATTGAATAAACGGGACACTGATTTAAATGAGACAGAACCGTGAATTCAATTATCTACCATGAATTGTATTCTGGCTGGATCTTGGTTCATCAAAGTGGACAAGTTTGATGTAGATAAGCAATGCCTGATGTTTCGAGGAGGCTTCTTATCCCATGATTTGCTGCAATCTATACCTGGACGGTTAATATTAATAGTATAGCATCATTATGAAATCAGCATTTACATCCTAATTGCATATAATTAGCCTCGTTTTATCTCTACTAAAATTCCTTGCGCCGGCTTGTATAGGGCCTGTATAGCCTAACATTTAAGAGTTATGTTTCTAACAAAGCGTCCACCTCTGTCGGATTGTCTGGGCTCTGTTTCCCAACAATAACCTCCCAATTATTGGTTGACCCTGGATAGTACAACTGAAAACTTACAGCAAGTGGAAGGCTTTCCTCGACTACGCGTTATGCGAGTAAACAATGCTGTTTATTAGCCTCTGATCTCTTTTCTCTTCTTGCTGCACAAGTGCACGATACCAAGGAGTATGAGTAATTCCTAGCGGATCGATGATCGTCGCGAACAATACTTTTATTTTTGCGTCAAGCCAATAATTCGTGTCGCAACGATGAAAGGAACGTTTGTGATATCAGGGCATCTATATACTACCACGTGATAGACTGGGTGTATCGCCCTCAATTTCGATTCCAAGCAAACTAATCTTGATCCTGATTCTGTATGATTACTTTCTAAAGATGTTGCTTATGCCTCTCGGCTGATGGTGTGTCAGTCCAGCGACTTCTTCCAGAGGATGATAATTCTGTGAGTTCGGGCATTGGATACAAATCACAGCAAAGAACGAACTACTTAACGATTGACTCAAATTCCACTTTCAAGAACTAAAATAAAAGAAATGTCGAGAGTTTTTCTTATTTTTATTTTTATCACAGATATCTTGATAAATGTGTCGTCAGGTACTTAGACCCTATCCACTTTTATCAAATAGGGTTAGGGTCTGGTAGCTCGCGTGACGGTCGCACACGGTCGGTTTTTGAATGTCACGCAAGCTGAAAGTTAGTCATGCAACACTTTGTCACAATTCTTCCGCCTGTGTCCGCCATGTTGGTCGGCCAACACGCATCAGTGAAACTCTGCATCATCTTCGCGCTACAGAAGACCCATATATACAGAAAATATGTCTGAAATCGAGTATAGTGACCTTCTATTTCAGATAAGTACGAAAATTGATGTAAACCAATTAGATAGATTGGTTTTTATGTGCAGAAAGCTGATCTCAGAAGGCAGTGAAGGAACGATTCAAAATGCACTCGGATTATTTAAAGAACTCGAGAAACAGGATAACCTCGGAATGGACCGGTTAGAAAATTTGAAGCAGATTTTGAAACAGTTGAAGAACCGACCCATGCTCAAGAAGGTGGAAGAGTTTGAGATCAAGAGAAAAGGTGCTCAATTAATGCTAGTCATATTTGTTTTGAAATTCAGCGAAGGAAATTTGAAAAGCCGGAAGTGCCTTTTTGCTCGAGAAGTTCAATTTAAGGCTTAGAACTTCTTCACTGATTGCAAAGGAAATGATTTCTTGTTAAGGGGATTATGTATTAATTGATAATTTCGCTTAGTACTTATTGCTTTGGAAGTTCCCAGTATCACGAATCTTATTTCATTATGGCTTTAGATAACTTTACGAATCCTTGAAATTTCAGCTCAGTCACTTGGCATCATTACTTCATTTAAGCAAGCCGCCGTCAATTTGAAAGGAGGTAAGGTGTAAAAAGGCAAGGTTCTTAATTGTGCATGTAAAATATTTAGGGCAAACAGGCATAGGCCGGATGCTGAATATGAGTAACAGAAATGTAAGATAAAATCAGACAATATTTATAATGGTGTAAGAATCAGTGCTTGGCCATTTATGCATCACGACATAGATTTATTAGAGTATTGTTGTGTGCTAAACAATCAAGTCGACTCTTATAAGCCCCAGTTCATCTAATATAAGTTCCAAATAGCCAGAAACAATGATAATCAGGGATACAGGCAAAAATACATGACTTAGTGTCAACCTCTCTTCTAAACTTCCCATTTTGAAGGAGTAGCAAGTGATTAAATTTTTTCAATACTCACAAACTTTCAAAATTTGGCTTCTGATTGATGTACTGGCAAAGTTTGAAAATATATTTATTTGCCCACTTGCTTGCAACATTCTTGCTACTGTCTGAATGCATGAATGGATGCATACCCAGATCAATTTCTCAAAATGCAGTTTAACACAAAAATTAGTTTAAGCCAACAATGCACTTCTCTGGAAGCTTTAGAGAGAGAATTAATTAGGATTTGTGCTTGTGGAAAATTTGCCATCTATATAATGCTGTAATATTGTCTCTAGCTTTCAATCACAACTGGAAAATTATTTTTAACCCTTTAACTTCCAGAAGTGATTCGCATGTAACTTCTCTCTACAACATCCATGCACTATCCAACAAACAGGTAATGAGAATACTCAAATGTATCAGGTAGAAGTTGTGGTCTTGATCTAACACCAAATTCTTGCAATTAATTTATAAGGAAATGTGTAGCAGCTAGAGGGGAGAATCAACAATCAGATCCTGGGAGGGGTGGTTGGCAACTTTTCAGCTAAACTGAAGTTGACAATCATAGCCATAGCATTGTATAACATGTCGGAATTGGCTTAAATGATGTCAGATAGTTACCAGTTTGGACACCAAGCCTTGTTTGAAATACATATACAAATGGCCTTCAGACTGTAGTTGTCTATATTGTTAATGTGGTGCAGCGACTTTAAAATCTGCCTGATTATTTATTTACAGCAGTTTTTTTAATAAGATTTTCATACCTGGCATTGTACAATGTTCAAAAGCATTCCAGTCATGTCGAATGAATTCATTTGCATTGTGAGAACAAAACCAAAAGATTGTGTAGTCAGGCTGGAACTCTTATCACCACTGTTAATTATTTTATCTGTGAGTTTTGCCCAGCTTTAAATTAATCAATTATTATTGTCCTCCACAAAACACCACTGGTTGCTGAATAAGTTTTTAGCATCAGTATTTGCAAATAGATCTAATCGTAAGACATAGAGGTGAAAACTAATATGAACAAAATACTATACAAAATTTACCTATGGACATTGATTCTTGGCCCTAATAGTTTGTATTGTACAACTACAATCAGTTAATAAAGTTAAGTTTTATTTTACTGACACTTTTATTAGTGATCAGGTGATTAGAGTTTGTGTAATGTGTTACTACAATCCTAGCAGTATGCAGGACACATGATGTCATATGAACTTCATAATAGACCTTGCTCACCTTAGAATCTTTGTGGCTTAGTGGTAGAGCATTAGAGTGCAGAATCAGTAGGTCTGAGGTTCAATTCCTCATGGGGACTCAGAATGTTTTCTTTGTCCCACACTTGTGCCAAGATGAAAAATATATTTCTCTATTTCTTTACAAAACTCAAAACTGACCATCTTTCTTATTCCATTTTCAAACTCCCTTTTTGCATGCAGTTACAAAAACCTGAACACATCATTTACAGAGGCAAAGCCATGCAAAGCTAAATTTGTATGGCTTTCTCTTGTAAACTACTGAAAACATAATTTCAAAACTGAAGTTTTGTGTTGTTCTTGTGGGTTCGATATTGCATCCTAATTTATTCCTGCCCTCACACAAGAAAGCATATTAATACTGTATATTGATTAAATTTGTTTTTAGAAACACTTTTAAAAACTGTTAGAAACTGTAACTATCTCAAAAACAACATTCTTTCCCTTAAATGTTCTTAAAAGAGAAGTTTGACTGTCCAATCATATATCCTCATATTTAAAATGTCTTAACTTGATGCTTGAATAATTTTGAATATGATTAATTCAGACTACAGTAATTAATTTCTTACCCTTATTAAAAAAATCTGCAGTTATAAAGAAGCTACTAGTATACCACAAATAATTTTGAGAGTATATATAACTAGTCAATATAATTGTATTTTTAATGTCTTAAAATCACTCAAACAGGGCTTTCATCCTTGAGTGACTGATATTGTAAAAAATACTGGATTAGTGTGTGTGTGTGTGTGTGGGTGGGTGTGGCTGCATGTGGCATGCAGTGTGTGGGTGGGTGGGGGGTGAGTATGTGGAGTGGGGAGGGGGCAGACTGTGGCACAATTCTATCTTGGAGGAAATATTTTGAAAAAATTTGCCATATGTCTGTTGCAAATGTTTCTTTTGATGAGATATTATGATTAATTAAGATCAAAAATGACTTGTTTCAATAGCGATCAAGATGGTTTGTAATTTTCGCACAATTGGTGGTGCTCTCCTGGTAGTTAGTAGTGGCATGGCTCTCCGTAGCTGCTCAACTCTTGACGAGTTTGTGGAGACCTTCAACAAAGTTGTGCTAGTTGCATACACCAAACTGGTTGAGATCAGTGAGGGATCTCTGTGCTTCACAGTACAAGCAGAGACGCCAGCAGCTCTAAAGGAGTTATGGGACATCTACAAAGATGGAACATTGCAGAGACGTCTTAAAAAATTTCTAGTTACCGATGACATCAAACAGTTGACAGATGCGAAAGACATTGAGTTGGCTGTTTTCATCGATGAAAAAGAGTATGTGATGTCATTTAATTTTCTGCAAAATCAAGGTATGGTAACATATGTGCAGATGCGTGTTGAATTTAAGTTTGGACAAATGTAACGTTGAACGGGAAAAGCTAATACGATAGGGTTAAGATTCCTTACTAAAGTTGTTGAAAACATATCCTATATCCAGATATTGAAAAAGACCAATTCTTGCGTGTATACAGAACCTCCCCTTCCCCCTCGAACGATGTTGTTAAAACTTAAAAGTCACCACTTCTTGGTCAAGTTTACAGAGTGCACAAATTCGACATTCTTTGGGGGAGAGAGGAAATAATTTGTTTTTTAGTAATTTTGCGTTAAGTGTCCCTCCTTTGTAGGTCAAACAATGTGGAACATGTTTCATCAAGGTGATCCTGAGTCCGTTTGCAGCTATGAATTATAAAAAAAAGGGAAAAGTAAGAGTTACCCTTTCAACATGGGAAGCTAATCCTCGACTTAAACAAGTAATCAGCCTGTTTTAAAAAGAAAGAACGTACTGTTACCCAGAAACGATGTCGTTATCTTGCATTGAACAATGATTGCTGTATCTGACAATCCAGCAACATTAATTGATCCTAACTTAATCCTCTTTCTTATTGTATCCTTACGGCAGTGCCTGATTTGAAAGAAGAGCGGTTTCGAAGGAAATCTGACTCCTTCTTTCACATCAATTCAAATCAGAGAGAGATTGCTATGATGAGGCTGACACAAGTAGAAAACCAGTTGAGCTTTGAAAGACAAGTTCATGGAGAGGAAATAAAAAAACTCAAGGAGAAGATTATCCTGGCAAGAGGACCAAGGGGTAGGATTGATTAAACTCTACCTTTTGTATGTATCCTATGCTCTGGCTGGGATCAGTTACGGGACAATGTGAAGATTATATTTTAAAACACATTTATATGGGATAGAGCTCGGGAATCAGCTAGGTTTTGTGTAGAGTATAATTAAATTGAAAAAGTAAAGAATGTCGTAGTAGAATGGTACCTTGTTGATTTTCAGGCCAATCTACTATTCTTCGTATAGTATATACCACGACCAAATGCAAAAGCACCAAGAATGCATGCTGATGATTTCATTCCCATCCTTATTCTTCTCGTTGGTCTCGGTTCAAAGAAGTCAAGGATGATTTTTGCTCGTTTTCGTTGAAACCTGACAAATTTTTAATATTTTTAAATTATTTTTTTGATCTTTCATACAGCGCCAAATATCAAACAGGAAGAACTGCCTGGACGAAGAACTCGAAGGCATTCGGAGTCTTTTCTTTATTACAAACGAAATGAGGTCGAGGTAGCTTCGATGAGGCAATTGGAGCAAGCAGAAGAATGGAGGAAAGAGAAACAGATTTTTGAATTAAAGATCGCAGAGCTTGAAGAAAATCTGAAAGCAGAAAGGATGAGCAATATGGACCGTAAGCATTCAGGTACCCACTAAATATTTTTGAGCTTAACGAAATATCGGCGATGGGTGGTAAAATTGTGGGTAGGGTAATATTTGTTCGAACACATGAATGGCTTTCGTAATACTTTAGAAGTTATTCTGAATTTTTCCACTCTAACAAGTTAGCGTGGTAAAATAAATGCTTCTTGAAGAAAAGGGTGTAGAAGATACTCCACGGTGAGCGAGGTCTATTTCGAATTTCATATGGCACGCGTCCTGCATACTGCTAGGCCGGATCAGCAGTTTCGATAGCGTCAGGTTCGATTCTTCATGGGGACTCTTTTATTTTCTTTGTCCGCGTGCTCGTGACAAGACGAAAAACAGCTTTCTCTATTCCTCTACCGAGCTCAAAACTTGCCATCTCTCTTATTCTATTGACAAACATAATAAGAATCTCCATCGATCGATACGAAGAGTCTGGTCAGATTAAGGACAAACCTTCTATCACAACCAGTTGCGATAAGGTTTCAAGAGGGCCGTTACAAACAAGCATAAGCACATAAAACGTTTTAGAAATTATATCTTCTTCAGGCCATCACAACTTCCATTTTGCTTGAGGATAAGCTTTTTTAGTTATCATTTTTTGTCTTTAATAATTCCAGAAGCTACGACTCTCGGGAGACCATGGAAGAGGCGACGCAGAAATTCTGATTCTAACTTGTACCACATGGCAAGAAAAGAGGGGGTTGAACAAACTGGAAAACAACCAGAGCGAACTTTAGAAGGAGGAGCACAAATGGATTTAGAGAGGCGTATGTTCGTGCATAATTATTTGCAGAATAGGAGACTTAAATTTAGCGTTCGTTTTAAAATTTATCCCCAGATAAATTTTCGTTATTTGCTGTATTTTTCATCCTCTTCCGTGGTGACATTGAACCGTACTCCCCAGCCGTGTTATCAATATTTGACTCAGTAAATTAAAGGAGAGGTTAGTCACCTCATTTCCCATAAAAGTGAAATTGATTATCTGTCCTTTGTTATCGAAGCGAAGAATAGGGCTGCACGAAAACCTTGTTGACGTGTCTGCTTCTTCTGGAGGTGATAATTTTCTAACCTCGAGGCTGGATTGTGGCAAACAGTGGACCTGATATCAATGATGAGAGAATTGGAGGTCTTTAGCAGAAAAGAATATGGAAAGAAGCCACGTTCATATGTACAACAGAGGAGAATTTGTCGTGTCTTATAAGGTTCATAAGGCATGAAGAGCCGACTAATTAGTAATTTTGCGGCGGAAAGTGAGGTAAACCATCAAGGCTAACCGAGTTAGATTATACTCAGTTTCAGCTGAATTATACAAAATACAGAGGCCACTTTTCAGACATGTACTTTTTATAATCAATTGGACTATTTTATTCAGGAAATAGACGATTGTCTGAGACCCAAGTGACCCAAACTCAGATTTAAAGCGGCTTCGTTTTAGTTTGATCGGATTTTTAGTTCGATCCTCACTAATTATGACGGTATTTTGTCGAACAGGCAGCTATGCTAAATACTAAGAAACAAAAAACGTTGGGTCTATGAATTGTAACTTCTTCGGTTACATTCATTAAATCTGTAAAGGTGTTGAGGTGTTTACTGATTTAAGTAGTCAGGCTTTGGTGACTTCGATGCTGGTTCAAAGTGTAGAAAGAGCCCACTTTTTAAGCCGTAAGTATGAACCAGGAGGGTGATGGGGGTATTTTATCTTTTTCGTGGAAAAGAGGTTGTAGCTTGGTTGTCTGGAACAAACGAACGAACAAACGAAAGAACACACGAACGAGCGAACAACCGAACGAACGAACGCACGAACGAACGAACAAGCGAACGAACGAACACACGCACGAACGAGCAACCGAACGAACGAACACACGAACGAAGAATGAAAGAACAAATGTACTAAGGAAAAAAAAAGAAACGAACGAGCGAACCAATGAACAAGCGAAAGAACGAATGAACGAGCCAACCAATGAGCAAATGTACGAACGAACGAATAAATGGAAGAATGAAAAAATGAACGACAGAACGAATGCATGAACTAACGAACGAAAAACAAACGAACAAACGAATGCGCGCACGGAAAAACCAAAGAATAATCGAAGAAACGAACGAATGATGGAAGGAAAGTTGACTTCTCTTACACTATTGGATAAATTTGGTCGGGAGATGCTGTAAGCAAATAAAAAACGAAACATATTTTCTCAGTCATTCGAGACAAAAAAATGCAAGAAAAGGTAGAGATATTACAGGTTGAACTACGTTCTTAGCGCATTGAAGTTTTAAATTTTATGGCATTGCACTAATTGAAAACAACGATAGACAGGAATTAATGGTAGTTTTACCAATTCTTTTGATGTAAATTTCTTTGTAAAAAACTGTGAATAAGAAGACGCCTTAAAAGGTCAGAAAACTTACACTTTTCTCCGGTTATGTTTCGTTTGCTAATTGCTGCCTCTCACCTGCTCCAGGAGGAAACAAAGAAACGGAACTATGACAATGTCACTTCAGTTCACTTTTAACTAAATGGAAACATTCAGAATTTTTTTGCTATTTTAAATTTACTTTTCATCTTTAGACGTTATTTCTTCGCTATTTTGCCTGGTAAGAAGCGAGTCTGAATAGCGTCAGAAATTAAGATTGTTTCCTTTTTTCCGGCTTTTCGAAAATACATCAAAGTGGTTAACAACGGCGTGTGATTGTGTCAAACGGTAAAAATTATTTTCAGTACTCGGCAGAATGCTAATCAGGTCACATGTTAAGTGGTCTTATTCTGATCTTCTCTTTTCCCTTAAAGTCTGACCAGGACGCGTTCGAGTGTTTCCTCTACGTTTATAGTCAAACACAGAATGAACTTTTCAAGTGCGTCATTAGCCGTTTGTATGGCGGCAGCTGAAAAACGTGCAGTGGAATCATTTCCTGTCAGTTTTTTTTAACTGTAAATTCAACTCAGGACTTTCCTCCAAAGCTTAACAAATTTGTTTCATAGCATCCAAGTGTTCATGACGTCTTGAAGGCTTAAATGTTCCCTGAAACAAGATAGGGCCAAATCGTTTACAACAATAGTTCGTTCAATTTCTTCACAAATCGCCATTCTTCTCTCAGGATGAGTCTTTCGATAGTAGTGGAAAAAATGATGATCTAGAGCCTCGTAAAAACGCCCACGGACACGTTCATTTGTTTCTTCCTCTGAGCTTTTCTGCTCTTTCGCGGTGCAATTTAAAAGCTTCTTGTTGTCGTCCGTGAACGACTCCGTCGTTCTCCTTTCAACTTCAAACATCGCTATGTAAGATGTTATATCGCTGTCTCCGGTTTTATTGACATCAATCCTTTTCCCACTGAAATCCCTGACTTCGACGATATTATCCCTTTCTGTACATGTGCGCAGCAAATCCATATTTTGATCGAATGTCAGAAGTTCGTCGTGTAATATCTGGCTACAACTACCTTGATAGGCTCGCCCTGGTCTTAGCCGCCTTCGAAGCAAATGTATGGGTTTTTTTAATGAGTTCTCGCCACCAAGGGTGCCTTTTACCATCTCACCCCTTACCGAATGGTTATCGAATCGATTTCCTTCAACAGTAAATGCTTTCGAGCGAGCGTATGTCTCATCGCTCCTGGTCACCTCTTCCGAGTCCTTCTTTCTTTCAATCGAAGACGTTATGTGGTGTCTGGTGGCTCGGCCCACAGTTCGATATTTCATGTTCACATTTGCGATCTCGTAAGATTTGAATGTTTGTTCCCCATGGAGACAAGACTCCGCATTGCTTTGCCCGGTAAAGCGCTTTCCAATTTGCGGAAGCCGCAAAAAGCTCAAAGGAGAGTTGTCTTCTGCACTTTCGCTGGAAACCGGGTTTTGAGTGTTCCCGATTTTTTTCGTAATCCTTGGTAATCGCGTTTGATTCGTTGGTTCCTTGCCTGTTGGATTTCTGTACGCCATTCTCAAATGTTGCTTGTCAACTGATGAGCTTTCAGAGAGTTGCACGATTCCCCCTACATTATTATAAATTAGAGCGCGCCAACTTTCAAAACTATCTGAAAAAAAAAAGCGAAAAAGCAATAAAACATGAAAAGACGTGCAAGGAAACGTACAAACACGAGAGAACAGAGGTGGTCTAATGACACACATGGAAATTAATCGCTTTTAAGACAAAAACAAAAACACATGCGCTGTCGAAAACAAGAGGCGTCGGCACAAATTCCCAGTTGTCATTAGCACTCTATTCTCCACTTCTTCCGATGGCGGTGACATCCCTCCATCTGGAAATCTGCCTGAGGCGAAACTGATAGCAACTTGCTGGTTCAAGTAAACCGATCGACAGAATTCATGAATAAGATAAATCAACTCAGCAGAACCTCACGCTTTTGCGAGAAAGAGTCGGGGAAAAAGAGTGCAACCCATATATGCTAAGCGGTAATTTCAAAGAATTATTATTTTTTTTAAAGAATGGGTCATTTATGCTCCTAACGTTTTCACTGAGCGATCAACAGTGTTTAAGAGGTTTAATGCTACTCCTATTCTAATTTTCAGCTTTTCGTAAAATGTATCTCTTAAGACTATATGAAGGCGACTCTGAAACCGACTTTGATCGATCTAAAATTTGTTCTCAACTTGAAACTCATTTCGAAGAAACACAAGAAACAATAAAGGGGCTCCTAGCTTTTTATATCTGATTTTAACATCTGCCTACCTCAAAAATTGGTCTCAGCCATAAATTCAGAAAAGAAAATTGGTTTGAATATACATATTTAGATTACACTTATTAGGACCAGTTATTCGTCATTTATTTGTTCAAGTCAACTGTTCGAACATTTGCCAAGGCAAGAATTGACCGCTATGGCAGATGATTTCGCAACCTACTATAACTGTCCGTTTTAAGTAACAAACCAATATCTTTTTTGCTTCAGGCAACCGCTTATCTCCGGATTTCCGTCGCTTCAGCTCCTGTCATACCAGAGTGTTTTGATTGGCTGATCGCTGTCAATTTTCCCATTAACTTTGAAATGTATTTTTCGTCGTTATGTGTATCCAAGCTTTATGCAATTTGTTGCAACACATTTTTGACACTTCAATTCCTTCCTTAACCCATTCATTTATTATCGGTAGAACAAATATTTTGTTTCAAAGGGCTATTTTTAACACGTAGATTGGCTCGATCTCAGGGCCCGAACCGTATTTCGGCCACACCGTCGTGGCGAAAGGTTGAAAGCTAAATACTTTTCTTTTTGTGCTGTTGTTATCGATAATAATTGGTTTTCAAATCAGCCACTCGCGTATCTTATTTAATATCAGAGGCTAAAATGATCATTAAAGGTTGACTTCGGTATAATAATTAAATATATTTCATTCCTGATCTTACCAGTCGATGATATGATTTTCGAAAAATCTGTCTCGGCAGGTGAAGCGTGTTTGTTCCGGGGAGTTGTCTTAAATGATCGAGGAGTGTTGATAGAACTCTGCTGAAAGCGCTTTCTATTTACCACTCTGGATTGGACTGATTTTAGGAACACGTGTAGGCTTAGGCCTTTTTGTTGCCCCCAACCTTTTTCCGAACTTTGTTTTGCAGACTCGCCTTAGTCAGCTGGGCCCTGATACGAGAAATCGAAGTAGTCCTTCATTTTCTTGTACCAAAGCATTGCTAGCTTAGAGCATCGATGGTATCCAGGAAAAAGAACTCCCCACTTAGGCGTACATGCTGGGGGGCCGCGGGGGAGGGCTGCAGCCCCCCACATTTTGGGCAAGTCAGAGTTTTTTGGCAGTAAGAAGGATGTGGGCGAAGTCAGCTTTTACAAAAGTTTCCACGTGTGCGTGGGTGTGTGCATGTTTTTTTTGTTTTGTTTGTTTTTTTTTATCTATTTTAACCTAGGTCGGCGTGGTAAAACCATCTTTTTTCAGACGGTGTGTGCTGATAATAATCCTGAGCAACACTAATAGTCTGTGCCGAAATCTTCAGGGGAAGACGGCCAACGTTATCTCTGTTATCACGTAGAAATACCGGCATGACCATTCAGACCTTACGCCAGTGTCAGTGTGAAGAAAGTTTCAACAGCGTATAGTAGATAAGAACAGTAATGGATCTGAAAATGGAGAAGTGGCTAACAAACTCTCAGTTTGAATGGCAAGAAGCCAGGACACCAGGACAAACACCGACACGCTGCCTTCGAGCCCTTTAAGGTGAACATGCGCAGAAACAAACACAGCTAACAACGAAATCGCACTATCGTATTAACACTTACTAGGCGTCCATCGATAAGGTACTGTCCGACCTTGAGCTCACTGGGGTTTCGCAGAAATGATCCTGAAACACTCTGTGCTTTGTGAAATATCTGTCACAATGAAACTCTTGATAAAGAAAGCTTATCCCGCGTTGCTAAAATTTACAAAATCGACGGCGAGAAGCCGAGCAGAAAATGTATGTGAGTTTTCGTCTTGTGCGCGGATAGATTTTGACAATGCAAAATTTTAGAAATGGAAAAAAATTGAGAAAAATGACCCCGTATTGTAAAGTATGCAAAGTATAAATAGAGCAGCATTTGAAAATTGTCTTAAGCATTTATATTTAGTGAATAGCTTGCGCAGGTGAAAAAAAGGAGTTTATGCAATTAACTCGCTCAGTTTTTTCAGCTGTTCTGATTTTTGACAGCGATAATATAATTTAAAGTATTCCTTTGAGATTTCATGTCGAGATTTCTCTTTACATGAAGAAAAATTCAAGAGTTTGACAAGGGTTCTCGCTAACTTGCTAACGAGAAGAAAAAAGTTTAGTGAAGATATACGATGCTAACGACACTTAAAAGTGAAGTCGGTGGCACTTAAATGAGTTACGACAACCACGTTTTTGGGCAGGAATAGCGGTGAATTTCCATACCTAATGGAGCTGATTCTCTGACAAAAATAGATGTCTGTTTTTAAGAGAATCATTATTCCTGTAAAGCACGGCAGTATTAGTACAATTGTTTCATAGTTCGATTGTACACCAGATAGCGCAGAAGCAGGGAAATGGCGCAGAAATACGCGTCGGGTTTGG